ATTTCAAACAGTAGAGTCACTACAAGTACCAAGCTATCAAAACGTACACATCCCTTGGTATCCCCGGTGCCTTCCGCTCTCTGCAACTGAACATGGAGGCATTTTGGATTTTCGTAAGATCGTTCCCACCCTTGCCAGCACCTTCTTTCCTCTTTCTCCCTGTGGGCAGCCTTTCTCCCTTCTTTGCAGGGGCTCTTTTAGGCCTGAGCTCTAATTTTGGAAGGGCAGTGTTAACAGACACCCCTGCCGATCTCCTCTGAGGCTTATCCTTCACCTTGGTTTTGTCAAATTTAGCACCGTCTTCAACCTATTTCTTGGGCATGGTGGCTTGGCAGGTGGCTTTGCCAACCCAAGGCATGCTTCTGTCTTCCTCACACTGCTCCTGGAAAGATTCCTGAGTTCCATGGCCATCCAGCGGTGTGGAGCTCCTAGATTCCACCCTGGCCGAGAAGGTGCATGTTGCTTGGGCAGGTCCGCATGGGGAGCCCCCCGTAGCCCAGAATAGAAAGGCAAGGATAGCTTTCTTATTTTTTTAAAAAGATATAATTTTATTGGATCCTTTTAAAAGGTGGTAGAACAGCTTTATTTTAATGTATCAATATTTATGATATGCTGGGAAATACGTCCTTTTTACTTTTTAAACTTACGGAAAAATTTTTAGTTGACAACTTAAAAACGTGTGTGTGTTATGGGGGAGGGCACACAGTTTCTTTAAGATTCTTTTAAAGGTAAGTGGAGCAAAAAAGGCTGAAGATCATAGGTAGAGACTCTAGGAGAAGAGGCCAGACCATGATGGGGGAGGGTGAAGAGGGGGTGATGCTAACTTCAGGTTTGGAGACATTGATGATGTGATGTTGTTAGATATGAAGGTTGGTCCTTGGGGCCATCAGGAAATACTGAAGCCATTTGAAATGGGAGAAAAAAGATAACTAGGTGTCCTGGGGTTAAAACACAGCAGGTGTCTAGTCCAGCTTTGCCACCAGAATTGTCTTCCACCTTCATTGTCTTTCAACTATTTGACCACTCCATAAATTGTTGAAAATGGATAATGATGCAAATGATTCTTGTGCTCAGAAATACAAGTTAATCATGTTTGGTGGAATGCCATTGATTATCGTCCTGCGGATAGCCCTCTTCTGCATTTCTGAATTCCTATTCCTTTGTGTGTGTGTGTGGGGGGGGGGTTCTTGGCATTCTCCTTGAACCAATTTTAACATCTTTTGGTTCACTCATATTTAGTGAATTAAATAAAAATTGGCAATTGTTAATTCTACATTTATATGACAGTTATTATTTTATTTTTAAAAAATATCCTTTAACGGGACCTAGATCCAGGATGCAGAGAGAGATAGGGAGTCCTTGGGGTACCATTAGTAGCTGAAGTCAGGGACTGGATGAGATGACCCAACAAGAGTGAGTCTATGAGAAAATAAAAATAAAATAAAAACTTTTCATATGAAAGAAACAAAACAGAAGAAAAGTTGTCTGTTTCTTCTGTACATCCATTAATGTTAGTACCAAAAAAAAAATTCACAGGCACTTTCAAGGGCAGATTTTTAAAGGATTGGGAGGGCAGATTTTTAAAGGATTGGGGGTTCAGAGTGGCCGTGGGCAGGAGCTGGAAAGGAGGCTCATGGCACCGCTCAGTTCTTACTGGCTCTATGTTCTGTAGGGAACGCAGTAGATATCAAATACAGAATAACCAACATAGAGTGTGTGTCAACTCACTGCGTATCCTGAGGGAATTTTAACAAAAAAATACTTACGAATTATGTGATATTTGACAGCTCTGTTCATGCCAGCATCCATATCAGAGGCCAAAACAGTATAGACAATCTCTGGTTCTTGGTTTTCCAGAACCTCAATGTCATGACTGGAGACAATAAATTCTGGTGCGTGATCATTTTCATCTTCAACAGTGCAGAGAATTGTTGTGGTGCTGGACAGGGAAGGGACACCCCCGTCTCGTACGAGTACTAACATAGAACATAAAGATGGCATGATGTGTGGTCATTAATTCATACCTGAAATACATTGTTCTAACTAGACAGAATCAGACTAAATTAATCGTGTAGCACTGGGTCAGTAATAATTTAAAGACACCCTACGGAAATGTAACATGTCACCACTGAACTATCTCTTTTAGCATGATAGTGAAGGGATCTCTTACCTCGAAGGGTGAAGACTTCCTGAACTTCTCTGTCAAGTGTGGTGGTTGTCACTACCTCTCCAGTGTCAGGATTTATCGCAAACAACCCAAATGAAGCACCTGGCATGATTTCAAAGTGAAGCTTGGAATTGATTCCTTAAGGAAAATATAAAGAAAAACTTAGAGTTATCCCTTTGGAATCTATTTGTCCATTTTCCTGTTCCTTTTGCTTTGAACATGTTAGGCCATAGATGAAAAAGGCAAGATTCTTAGACAGCCTTCAAAACAGCCTTGTTTGGCTGTTCCTGCTAAATAAAAGCCTCATGGGCTGAAATACTTGATTTTCAAAAGTCTTATGAGACTTCCCCACAGTGAATGCTTAGGATTTTTTCCTTCCCATAAAAAATTTCTTATGAGTGTGCAACTCTACAATGTATTCCTAATTACTCCTTCTAACACCCCTGATTGTGATTTAATGACGTAATTGTAAGCTTGTGGGGCAAATGACAATTTCTGTAGATTGACCCAGTTTAAAGGCCTGTGCTCAGTTATAGTACACTGTTTATTCTCAACCTCAGGAGGCAAGACATAGAGTTGCTTCTATGTGCATATTTGTTTTGTTTTGCTTTTTATTTAGTATTCATCGCCTATCAGGAGTGAGAAATGTGGTACCACATTATTAAACATTTTGAAAATAATTCTTTCCATATTTTTGTGGTTTCACTTCTCCCCTGAGAAAAGTATCACTTTATTTCCATCACTGGTTGTGAAGATCATTCATACCATTAACTTTAATGAGTTTATCCCAAGCCACTATAGTTTATTTGCATTTTACACATGTTCCTTTCAATCATTTTCCTATGTTTTTTTTCTTAACTGACAAAGAATATAAGTATATAGTACTCAGAATATATGATGATATCCTTTAATAAAAGATGAAATACCATTCATTCTTTTGCCTTAGCAAAAAAAAACAAACAAAAAAACTTCAATTAAAAATGTTCATGCTGGGGCCGGCCCGGTGGCGCACTGGATGGTGCGCCGCTTGGGAAGCGTGGCGGCGCTCCCG